GCCAATTACCCTCTTCGATTTTCGCTACTACATTTTGGGCGTTGCCGCAGTCGGGTAAAGGGTACTTGTTGATTCTAACCTCAAAAGTATTAGTGGCGATATTTTAAAAAATCGTGGCTATTTATATAAGATTTTCAAACGGGATAGTATTTGCAACATAAAAACAAACCATTCTCACTATAGTTTATTAAGGGACATCAAAAATTAAAGTCAAGTCCAGCTCATATAGAAATGAAAAAAAAAATGAAAAATATTTATTCTGTAACCAAATTAAATTAACATAAAAGTTATTGAAGCACTCTTTTAGGTAAACATATACCTGTATTAGAATGCCTCGCTCTCTCGTACATCACAACTTGTTTACAAACAATATACATACATAACTCAAACTAATTAATAAAAGAAAACTAAATAATAAATAACAAAAATCATGCAAAAACCCACTATTAAGCCTAATTTCATACGTCAACTTGCATAAGTTTTTCCACCTCGTCATATGTAAGATTCAAAAGCCATTCAGTTACTTGTTTCTTTAGCTCACATGATGTTAATGAACAAATGTTTATCAGTCTATTAACTTAATTAATATATTATATATCAATGATGATTGCATTTTATACTGGTGTCTAGCAAAAGCAGATTTAGGTTTGATGTCAACATATTTTTTCCTCTTATTGCGATTTGGATCAAAATAAACAGTTTTATGTTTCTCCATTAATAAATGTAATATATAAAGCCTTCTAACACTTAGGAGTTTACTCAGAGAGTACAATTTTTCTGTTGGAAATTTATAGGGTTTATTGTACATCACCTTTAATCGTGAACGTGGCCAACGATCACTCGTTGGCCACGTTCTAACTCTAAAAATTTAATTTTAGTGGCACCGCCCCATATTGGTATACAATATGTGAGGACTGATTGAGTAAGGGCAGTGTATACCTGGTTCAGTAATTTGTTTGTGGCAATATATCTTAGAGACTTAAAAATCCATATCATCTTTCGTATTCTGCTATTAACTACTTCAACATGAGGATGCCAGGACAATCTTTGGTCAATGATCACTCCGAGGTATTTTGTAGAACCTACTTTCTCTATTTTGGGGCATACACAGTTATAATGATAATTACCGCAACTATGGATCTTAAGTTCGAGATTGGGTTGTGTTCGATTACTCATTGAAAAGCATATATAATTTGTTTTCGTAATGTTAAGGGTAAGAAGATTTTGTTTAAGCCAATTAGCCACCGCGATCATACTGGTTTCTACTATGCGATACGTTTCTGCCCATGAATTTCCGGTAAACATTATAGCAGTATCATCAGCATATGAAAAAACCTTACCGTTAGTAATTTTGAAGTTACATAAATCATTTATGTATATTAAAAATAGTGTAGGTCCCAATACACTACCTTGAGGAACACCATAAGTTATCTCTAGTTCCTCACTGATAAAGTCATCGATTTTGACTCTTTGTTTACGTCCTGTTAAGTAATCAACAAGCAATTTCAGTTGCTTGCCTCTAACACCAACATATTCTAATTTTTTTAAAAGGGTAGGTACTGAAATGGTGTCAAATGCCTTTTTTAGGTCTAAAAAGACGGTCAAGCATTTTTTCCCCTTGTCTAGGTTTTCCACCAATTCAGAAGTTAAGGCTAGAATTGCATCTTGTGTACATTTCCCCTGCCTAAATCCAAATTGCGAGTCTGATAATATGTTGAATTTATTAAGGTATTGCGTCAGTCTATTATTTATTAACTTTTCTAGAATTTTAGAGATAGATGATAATACAGATATTGGTCTATAATTATTAACGTCCCCTTTACTACCACCTTTATGAATTGGTGTGATGATAGATTGTTTTAACATAGAAGGGAAGACCCCTTTAGAGAAACAAAGGTTTGCTAAATGGCAAATAACAGGAATAATAATACCTTTACAAAGTGTCAAAAATTTTGTTGTTATCATATCGTATCCAGGAGCACTATCTGTTTTAAGACTCATAATTATGGAGTTCACTTCCACCGGATCAGTATTCAACATAGCAAAGGATGAAAGTTGTGTGTTAGAGGCAGGCATAGAAGTTTGCATCACAGTATTATTACTATCTATAATATCCGCAGCCAAATTACGTCCAACGTTTGCGAAGAACTTATTCACTAATTTTACTGATTCTTTAGGACATGATTTAACACTTAGTAAGTCTGTGTTAGAAGTTTTAATTGTTTTTACGCTTGAAATATTTTTTATGTTTTTCCATAGTTCTTTAGGGTTTTTTGCTTCTAATAATGTTCTTTCATAGTTCCGTTTTAGTTTTTTTATTAAATTATTACAATAGTTGCGATATCTTTTATATGTTATTTTGAAGATTTCATCGAAGGGATTCTTTTTTAACTGTTTTTGCATTTTGTTTCGATTACGTATGCATCGTAATATTCCAGGAGAAATCCAAGGTTTTATAATTCGCCTAGATCTTGAGATATTATATTTTTTTGTGTTCTCTTTTAAACATTCAGTGATTGCTTTTATTAGTTGTTCCGTTAGCGTATTTGGGTCATTATAGGATAACAGGTCACCCAAGGAAATTTTACTAGCAAAAATTTCTTTCGCTTTTTCAAGGTCAACGTATGTTTTAAATTTGAAACATAAAAACTTTTCTTTTTCTTTAGTAAGGCTTAAAAATACCATATGATGATCAGTAACAGTTGTGTTAAGTACAGCTACTATAGCACTGTTTTTTTCCTTATCAATTTTTAAAATTATATGATCCAGGCAGTTATTTTCCCTTATAGGAATTGTGTGTGCAGTAAATAACCCGTACTCGGATAACATATTCAAATAATTATTTAAGTTTTTTTGCTCAGTACTATTAAGTTTTTCTTTTGAAATAATATTAATATTGATGTCTCCGGCTATAACAATATTTCTTTTATTTTTAATTTTATCTAAATGTATACGCAGTGATTCAATAAATTCGTCAGGATTTAATTTAGATGGCGACCTGTAAATTCCAAGAATTATATAATTTAGTATCTCCATTTGTAAGCACGATGCATGTTTTAGTTCAACCTCTTGTACTTTATGTTGATGGCCATTTTTAATGTATATTGTAACTCCATCGTTTTGGTTAAGATGCTGGGTACTGCAATATGACGTGTAATTTTTTATTTGCGGGACAGGTTTATTAGAGTCAAGCCTGCATTCTGTTAAGATCAGGACATCCACATCATTTTTTATGTTCGTTAAGGTAATTTGCAAGTAGTCAATATTTTTATAAATGCTTCTAATATTTTGTGTCACTACAGTAAAGTTTTTATGTTTTATCTGTATGTGTTTATTTAGATCTTCAATATCGCAACGAGTTGCTTGAGCTATTTTGTATTCGTCTATTTCATTAATTGTTTTTAGAGAACTATCCATTATGATTAGTTATTATAACTAAGGTTTTATACAAGTCCTTTTTAACATAATATTATAAAATATGTTGGCAGTATTGTGAAAGACTGATAACAAAATTGAATAACTGCCCATTACTTTATCTGTATGTTTGTTGCTTACATAAGAGTGGAAAAAATATATTAATGTTCCTATTTCAATAATCAAACTAGCAAGTGTCCGCAAAAGATAGTATGAGAAGCTTAAACAGGAGTAATGATCAATTACAATTATTATATTACTTATAAATAAAGATGAACAACTGTTATATGTCGATTGAGGTAGTCACATTGCCTGCTTCAGTCCCTGCACCTGGGCCTCAGAGTTGATTTTTATCACAGGAGAATTTTCGTCTCTTCTTACGTAAACATTGCCAAACGTGGTCCAGCAGAATATGTAGTTTGTCATTGTTCTTTTTCTTGTCTCATTAAAAAATGGATCTGCATCGAAAGCATTTCCGTGCTATGACTTTTACGATTTTAAATGTGGTTTAAAAGCTGTCATTTGATCGATATCGAACTGCTTTTATGGATGAAGGACCTTCAAAAGCAACCATCTACCGCTGGTGTAGCGAGTTAAAACGCGGTCGTCTTACTTTGAGGGATGAACAAAGGAGTGGTCGTCCTACTACGGCTGTCAACTAAGAAAGTGTGCTGGTAGTAAAAAAAAAATTCAAGAAAACAGACGAATTACGTACGAAGAGATTCAGCATACTCCTTAGCACCTTTGCGTAAGGAGGATAGTTTCCCGCTGGGTGCCGCAGAACCTCACCGAAGCTCAGAAGTAGGCTCGTGTGGATTGGTGCAGTGATATGATATAAATTTGATGCAGGCTCGTCACGGCGCATGTACGATATTGTGACAGGTGACGAATCCCGGATTTATCAATACAATCCAGAAACAAAGCGTCAGTCGACAGTTTGGCTGTTTTAAAATGAACCAACGCATACGAAAGTGAAGCGATCGAGGAGCGCAGGGAAAATTTTGATCGCTAGTTTCTTCACTTTGACGGGGTACCTAATTTCAATTCCACTTCTAGACCAAAGCAGCATCAACGCCGAATGGTATAGCACAAAATGCCTGCCAGGAGATTTTCTTGCAATGAGCAACAAGCGACCTAACATCGGGCTCCGCGGGGTCCGTCTTCACCACGACAACGCGCCCGCGCACTCTGCGATCAAAACGAAGGACTTCCTGGACTCCACACCAGTCAGAGTCTTGGGATACCCTCCTTACAGTGCTGATTAGGCTCCGTGTGACTTCTTTTTATTCCCTAAAATAAAAATCTGCTCAGTTTTCATCGCCGGAAGAAGCCCTAGCAGCGTTTGTGAAAGCCGTGGAAGAGGTGTCTGCGGGGGACATGAAACTTTGTATAGAGGCTGGTGGAGAGTTCTTTGAAAATATTTAATAAAAATATGTTTTTCCTAGAAGTTAGTTTTGTAGTTTCTCAAAACTTTCTGAGTGTCCCACGTATGTGCTAACATTATATTCATACATACTTTTATGACTATTAATTTAGTGTTCATAGTTTCAAATGAACAATTACGCACATGACCATATAATTTTTAGATTCGCCAATAGAGCTAAAGCAATCAAAAACAAGCCTGAAGTGAATGCTGTAGCAACAGATGCCACTATGATACAGAGCTTAACAAAGCAACTGTCTAAGTTACAATCTCAATTAGAAACCAAGAAAAATTTGGAAGTCATGTTGGAGAGCAAGAAGAATGTAGAGGTAACTTACAAATAAATCCTACTAATGTTTTAAATGTGAAAGTTTGTGTATTTGTTACTCAATCACGCAAAAAACTACTGAACGGATTTGGATGATTCGGTACACATATAGTTTATGACTTAGAGTGGGACATAGGATACATTTTATCAGCCTATTAATGTCCCCACTACTGGGGCACAGGCCTTCCCTATGGATAGAATAGGGAGATTGGGCCATGACCCACCACACGGGCCCAGTGCAGATTGGCGGGTGTTAACGACTGCATATTCAACCGGGACCAACGGCTTAACGTGCCTTCCAAAGCACGGAGGAACTCGAGAGAGAAGATTTTTGGTCACCCATCCAATGACCGACCACTGCACTGCGAAAGTTGCTTAATTTCAACTATCGCAGCCGAACGCGCTCCGCCTGCGCCATCGAGCTCCTCGCCTTGCTTATACTTACTACTATATATTTATATTTGCTGACCGACTGTTTAATGCGGGCACTTCACTTGTGCCTTGTCATGCTTGAGGATTGAAAAGACAGACTCATATCAAGTTTACAAATAGCAAAAACCATTTCACTTTTTTCATAACTAAATCAACAACACCATATATGTTTCAGCAAGACAATTACAACCTGCAAAAGCAAATAGCGGCTTTGCAGCGGCTCATATTGAATGGGTTCGGCACCAGAAGCAGTTTAGACATGATGGGAACCCGACGGAAATTGGTTCCGCCGCGTCGAATTACAATATCCACTTTACATCCCATAGAAGAAGACGCTCCGCCGATATTACCGAAGTTCCATACGCCCCTTCTTAAATACAAGTATGAAATACTTTTAAATTTTCGCGTTTTATGACTACTATTTATGCTATAATGGTTTGTTTTAAACGTTATGAAAATAACGTAAAAGAAAGAGGTATGTAATTGTGGCCATTAACCATCCTGTCGCTTGATCAATTGACTTGATCAAATAGGCTTGATTAAGCCAAACTGACTGTGTGGGGAGACATTTTGGAAAGACATTCCACTCGACGTAAGTATTCTGGCTTGATCAAGCAGCATGATGGTGAGTGACCACCATAAGCCTGACAATAGACAACTTAGTCAATTGAATTATCTAATTCCTTAGAATAAATTAATATCAATGGCAGCTAATGTTTGCATTCATACTCGAAGAGAATTAATTGAAAAGGATCATAAAATAGTATGTAGTAATTTATTTGAGACATGTATATTTCTACTGGAATGGTATCAAATCTACAACTTATGCTTTGCTATGAGTGCAAATCACTTTATGGTGGTTTAGTTGCTGTACTATTTTTTTTGTATAGCTATAAATTGTAAAAGACTGGTTCTTTTTCCGTTTCGCAGTCCAATGTTACTACCTAGCAGTACTGACTTTGTACCAATACAAAGTACTGATAAATTGGCATGTGTTTCTGAAGAAAACGAGAATAGACTTGTTACACCCCCACCACCAGACAAGAAAGTAAATTTTAATGACGAAGTCATAGAACTTGGTAAGTTTGTTTGTTTCTTTTAATGGGAATCAGATGGTTTCTTGGAAAAATACTGATTGCATGCTATTTATGCTGGTTATTTACCATTCATAAAGTTAAATTTATTTGTTGGTGAGAAACATTTTGTGATTATTCAATTAAAGTGTTGATACTTTTTTTATATATATTTTTATATTACAGATAGTGATGATGATAACAGCTCTGTAGATGTTCAAACTTGCTCTCCATATCATAAATGTTATGGTAAATATTTTTTCATCTCGTAACAGATTTCTAGTTCTGTCATCTACACTATTAATAAGACATTGATTTATCGAAATATGGCATCTAATTTGTAAAAGTATATACATGTCTTCTAAACTGAAAATAACACAATTAATTTCCAATAACTCTTAATAATTTACAAGTATTACCTTATTTTATCTGTATTTCCATTTAAAGTTGTTTGAAACTAGTTATCCATAAATCAAAATAATTTCAAATTAATCATTTCGCCTATAGCAGCTCCTGTCGCATATCTTCGTCTTCTTGGAGGATATAAATTAATAATGGATTTTTCGAGATTATATTTTAAGCCAAATTACATTAAAGTATTGTTTATTTACAGGATCATCGAAAACCCCACCATGTGTCCTAAGAAAAAATGCCAAATTAGCTGAGAAAAATCTTAAAGACATTGTAGAACTTACAGAAAGGGAAAAAATATATACTCCAAGTGTGGTTTGTACACCCTATCCTTACACTTAATTACAACGCCCACGGTAAAAGGTTTCCCCGTAGGTTAGGTGTTACTATCGACAAAAAATTTACGTGGAACGATCACATTGATAATGTGATACAAAAGCCGGAAATCACTCTTAAGTATATGCTGTCGACTAGCTGGAATGAAATGGGGTCTAAACCCAAAAATCTCCCTGTACACCGCCGCACAGTGAGCGGAAACGATCAAAACTACGCGCGAGGCAGTAAATCTAATCCAAATGTTTTTTTTTAAATACTCGTAATTATGTCTGCTTTCTTATAGCACTACGGAAATTAACTTTTTTAGGGGTAGAACCACCCCTAAGCAGGCTAAACCATATATTTATATATGGCTAAACCATATATTTTATACACAGATAGGCTATTTTATTATGAATTTTTCCTTACAAATATGTAGTTTATCGAACTCGTTTTACCCAGGATCTGGTGGTTTAGCCTGCTTAGGGGTAGATAAGGGTAGTTTCTACCCCTAAAATTTTCCGCAGTGCTACAAGAAAGCAGACATAATTACAAGTATTTAAAAAAAACATTTGGATTAGATTTACTGCCTCGCGCGTAGTTTTGATCGTTTCCGCCTACTGTGCGGCGGTGTACAGGGAGATGGCGCTTAGACTAACGCCACTAGCAATGACTACATATGTCGTGCTGCCACTGAGTAATTTTACTAGAAATTACAAGGTGGAACTGCCAGCAGAGAAACATGGTCAGACGACTATACAGGTTGTCCCATGGGTTTGTCACACGGAGGGAAAGTATGTTAAATATTGAAGATAGGATATTTTACTGAAAAAAGACATCATTTTATTGATGTGTAATATCTTTCGCGCTATTTGATTAGATTTTAGAGCGTAATGTTCAAATGGCTTATTCATTTTGTAGTAGGTTTTATTTCTTTTTTAACTGATATAAGGTGAGGTTTCAAATGTTACACATCATACGTGACTACTGTAAGGCTCGCTCGTTTTTTTTTTAATATTTACTAGAACGGCATTCACAGATATGTTGAAAAATCGCGTGCTGCAACTGTTAATCAAACTCGTGTGAAAGAAAAATACATGACGTATTTTATGATAACGATCGAAAGGGTTAATCATAAGGATTGTTTTTTCCTAATAAACATAGCATTTTAAATGAAAGAGAGATCGTGAAATAAAAATTCTGCTCAGGAAAATTGCCTGTTACTTTTCCGTGCTTCCAACAGCTAATGAAAGGAAGATCATGAAATTAAAATTTTGTTCACGTAAATTTCCTCTTACTTTTCCGTGTTTCCAACAGCTAATGTTATCATTTCAAAGTATTTACTAACTAGTACCTAATCACTTAATAATACAGGATTTCCTAACTATAAGTATGTGGAAAAAAAAATTAAGCGATACTTATACAAATCTAGATCCGTTTCTTTTTTATTGTTCTTTGTGTTCAATTATTAAAAAAAAAGAAATTTCGTGATTTTTCTTTCATTTAAAATTATAAGTTACTAGCTGACCCAGCGAACTTCGTACCGCCCTAAAAAAATAAGGGTTGTCCAGCGAACAAAATTGTGAATCTAAAGCATTCTCAGATCCCCTTGAACACACTCAAAAAATTTCATCAAAATCGGTCCAGTCGTTTAAGAGAAGTTCAGTGACATACACACTCACAGAAGAATTATATATATAAAGATTTAGGAAAAAATAATCCTCATGATTTACCCTTGCGACGGTTATCAATAAATACATGTATTTTTTGTTTTACATTTCACGAGTTTGATTCCCGGTTTTGGCGGACGATTTTTTAAAAACTGAGAATGGAGTTCTACTTATTATTAAAAATTAAATGTTGTCGTGTTTCAGTAAAATATCCTATCTTCAATATTTAATATACTTTCCCTCCGTGTGACAAACCCGTGGGACGCCCTGTATACTGGTTATACCAACCACGATTTTAGCTAAATCTAATTAAAATAAACGCTAAATAGAGGGTTACTTGAAAAAACGGACTGCTGAGTTAATAGAACTTAGCAGACCAAACACCCGTGCTATTGTAAGAGCCTTAACTGGACACTGCAAACTCAACAGACACCAATTTCATATGAAATTATGTGACACTGATGTTTGCAGATACTACAATCAGGAGCATGAAACACCAAAACACCTTCTATGTAAATATGGGCCTCTTATCCACAAACGTAGTATTCATCTGGGACGACGTTTAATACGCCCAGAGGAAATCAAATTTCTAAAAGGTAGAAACTTTTTGAGCTTCTTGGAAGCTATCGGGCTAAAAGAGATACGCGATAACGATACGGTCGCAGTGACTATAGTTCCATTAGGACTGCATAGCCCCAAAAATCTGAAATAAAAATAATACCCTACCTGTATCTTTAGATAGTTTAAAGGACAATGGCGAACTCCCATACAAGTTTTTGTTGAAATTTTTTTTTGCGTCTATGAATGAATTGCATCATAAATTATAGAGTTTAGATCCTCGATTTGATTCGTCTTATTTCTATTATTAAGGAAGTCTGGATTTATAGATATTCTACTTTGAAGTTTTGGAGGTTATGTCATACTAAGTAATACAAAAACGAATTATTAAAGTATTTTCCAGAGTATTTTTATATCAAAATAAAAAATACGTGAACGGAACTATAAAAGTATACGGTTCCCGTAGATTAATGACGTAAAAAAAATGTTTTTTATAATGTATGATCAGTGGGCGTAAGTAAGTACTTACTGACCAACCGCGTCAAAATACTTAATAATACTAAACAGACCAGGGTTATTTAGTTCGAATACAATGTCTGTGCTGTAAGAAGTACTTAACAATTTGAAAATGACCACAGCAATAATAAAGTATAAAAAAGGATTTCTAATAGTGTACTGATGGGATATTAATTAAATATGAAACACTTTTTTATATATTTTTGATTCCATATCTTTGATTTTATTTATGTTTTAAGCATTTAACTGCTAGATGTTTAAATCTAAAGAAAAGTTTACTAGAAAAAAAATCCACGCGGACCAGGCAGCGGACGGGACTCCGAACCCGCATCATTCGCTATCATTCGCATTCGCCCGGATAGCGAAGGATGCGGGTTCGAGTCCCGTCCGCTGCCTGGTCCGGGTTGTTTTTTTTTCTAGTAAACTTTTCCATATCTTTGATCACAATATCGTAGATAGTAGATACAATGAAATAAAATACACAGCATGGGACGGAATCGTGTCCAAAATCCACAGCAAGAAGTCGTCCGAAATATCAGATTCGGAAGTCTTAGGCAAGCACTACTCAACAGTCGCAGGGTAGATTTCGAGAGTCCGAATGCAGTGCAAGTCACATAAAAACACAAATCACAAAAAAACAATGCGCCGATTTAAATCGTTGCAATACGAAGCACAAGCAACGATAATGTTGACAATATCAATAACAATTCGATGACAAGCATGACAGTGACAGTTATAGTTTTTTGCGTTAGAATTGTCGCCATACCCTTTTTGTATTGTGGGAATTATTTATTATGGTTTCAGTATAATTTAAAAAAAAATGTTTCCCGATATTTTTGATAGATAATTAAATACAGTTTAAGCGTTAAGCGATGCAAAACATACGAACAACATATTTAAAGTTGATTTCATCACTAAAATCACTTAAAATAAATGGCTCAAAAGCCATGATGCCAAGCCACAATAAAAATAAAAAATAAATAGTCAATTGTGTTTCCCTTTTTTAAGTTTTTAATTCCAGACTTAGACAACCCTCCTGAATTGTATAATAAATCTTTTGAGATTATTTTATTAACATTTCTGATAATGACATCTATAGACGCTAAAGATTTACTTCAACAAATATTTCGCCATTGTCCTTTGCGGTGAATATTTTATAGCCAAATAAATCTTTTTCAGATTGAATTAATAGAGAAATTAGAACAAAATACGTCTGTGCTAACTAGTCTGCAAGATGAAGTGAATGCGCTTCATAAAATAAGTAAAGAGAAAGATTTGGAGATCGATCAGTTGCGAGTCAAAGTCTGTAAATCTAATGAGGAAGTTAATAATGTAAATACTACTAAGGTATGATTTATACGCATTATTTTTATATACAGTAGGTTTATAAAAGGCTATTATCTAAAAAAATAGGAAAGTAAATGGTGCTTTATTAGTGTATTTGCGTTAACAATTTGATTCATTTTGGTACTGATAAACTTTACAGGCTGAATTAGAAACTCTTTGTAAGGAATTTACAACTAAATTAACTGATTGGGAAGTTAGTTACGAAACATTAAAAAATAAAACTACAAGAAGAGAACAAGAATTGTTATCACTCTTGGAAGAGCAAAAATCATTCACTGTGAATAGAAAAATAGATGATCTAAGTAAGTATCGCTTGTTATATTTATTCATAAAGCATCTGTTATATCTGTTTAATATTTTTTTCCTTATCATCTGTTACTCAGGTAGACCGCTACCGAAACCTTTGAATAAAGAATTAAATTTTATGGACTTGTCCAAAGATATATCTTTAGTGAACAGTGATAATGAGAGTAGTATTGTTCACACCAATGATGACGAATCTTCTCAATTCCAAGATTTAATCACAGACATGCAAAAACAATTGAGATGTAAGGATGAAACTGTGCAACAATTAGAAGCTGAACTGCTCTCTCAAAAACAAGCTATTTTTTCATTAGAAAACACTAGCCGTCAACTTCAGTCTACAGTCGACACTGTCAAAGAAAAGCTAAAACTACTAGAAGACGAAAATTCACTGCTAAAAGCAACCGTAGATACTTTAAACTCTACTATAACTAGTCAAAAATTAAATCTAGAATCTGCTAATAATGATATTGAATCGTATAATAGCCTAATACAAGAGTTACAGATTAAATTATCAAATAAAGAAAGAATCCTTAACTTAAATATAAATGAAACTAGTATCGAAAGTATGATAGCTAATGAAGAGAAATTTATTGCTAATCATGAAAATATGCAGAATATTATTCATTGTTTTAAAGTAACCCTAGAATCTCGGAACAAAGAGATAGAGGCACTGAAGTCCAATTTTGCAAATGGATCTTCTGTTGAGAATGACTTGAGAGAAAAACTTGCAGTAAAAGAAAAAGAAATTTGCAACCTTACTGATAAATTAAAATCATTAGAAAATAGGATGAATGATAACATAGCTGTGCTTGAAAAATTGATACAGGATAAAAGCCAATTAAGTAATATAGAGCACCAACTAAATTGCAAGCTATCGGATATTAGCAGAAGAAACCAAGAGCTAGAAAAAATAAACGAGGAAAATAGAATAAATGTAAATTCGTTATTGGAACAAAATCTGAAACTTAGAAGTACAATTTCTGAAAAATATATTGTAGAAGAAAACCTTACTAGAAAAAACGAAGAAATTAATGAGAGACTTCAAGAACTGCTTTTAAAAATTAGTAGTTTAGAAAATGAATTATGTGCTAAAGATACCATAATTAACTCATTTAATAAAGTAAACGAACATTCTAACGAGAATCTCAGGAAAGCAAAAGCTGTTTTGCAATCAATACATAACAGTTTAGTAAAATTAGATAGCAGATATGAAGATACCACTGACTATTGTGATAAAGCAACCGAAGTATTTAGTATTCTAGAAGATAAGTGGACTGATTATCAATCAAAAGTGAACGAATCATTATCATTAAAAGAAGTAGATATTCAAACCTATTTAGAATTAAATAGGGATCTTGAAATATCGAACACTGAACATAAAACAGAAATAAATGACTTACAAAAACAATTAACACAAATGAGTGCCGACCTCATTCAGTATAAAAATTTAAATAAACAAATGTCAGATGATCATCAAGAGTTAAACCGACAATTTGAAACCAAACTCGTCGATCACGAAAACTTAAATTCCAATTTAAATGATCTTAGGAAAGACAATGAAAAACTTCATTGCGATATTCTGAAATTGCAATCATTAAATAATGAGGCGGACCAAAATCACCAAGATACAGAAAATCAAATTGAATCTTTAGTTTCTACTATAGAATTAAAAACCAAAACAATGCAAGGAAAAGATGAGGAAATACTTGAATTAAGACAAAACCTACATACCCTAAAGAAAGATTTAGATAATAAATCTATCGAAGTAATTGTCATATCCCAAAAATTAGATGAAACTGTAACTAATCAAAGGTTACAATTCAATTGTATTTTAGAACAGACATCTAAAGTACTGGAATCACTAAATATTAATGCGAACGATTTCACTCATAATGATGGCCCAACCTTATATGAAAATGTTATTTGTAAATTGCAAAATATTGCTAATCACATAATAAATGTTAGTTGCAAAAAATGTGAACTTATAAAAGACTCTCTGACTGCGACACAAAAAGAAATGAACCTTTTAGCTATCCAAAATGAGGCCTTACTTGAAAAACTGTCAAATACAGAATCAAGAAATCGAGTGTTATCCCTTGAACTAGATGAAATTAAATTTCAAAATAAAACTTTAAATAATAATTTAGCTGAGGTAAATAAAACATTAGAACTACTTCGAATAGAATTGAAAGAAAAATCTACAGATATTGAAATAATGGTTACAAAAACAGAAGATTTGAAAAAACACTTTATGGGATTGGATCACGTAATGCAAGATGAATTAAAAGAACTCCTGGCCCACAATGAAAGGCTTAAAATTCAATGCTTAGAATTGGAGTCCACTAAAAGCAAAGAAACCATTCAATCTACCGGTGACGATATTGATAGTCGTACTGTAACGTTATCACAGTATGATGAAGCATATCAGGTTAATGTCGTTGAAAATAAATCACCACCTAGTTTACTTACCATATGTTGTAATAAAATAGTAGAAACTATACAACCATCGGAAAATTCAATTTCGACAACGAATTCTGATATAAGTTTACCGGTAAAAGAGCTTGGACAAAAACTGTGTAACTGTGAAGAAATATTTTCTGAATTAAAAGGTTATCAAAGAGAAAATGAAAAATTGAAAGAACTTTTGCAGCAACGGGAAATAAAAATTAAAGATTTGATAGAGGAGCAGGAAGCAGTTCGTCACGAAGTACAACTTCTTCTGGCACCTGCCAATGAACTACAGAAGAAAATCAACAGTCACAAAACTAATCTATCTACCCTCACTGCTACTACTTATGCCGAAAACAAGTCTCTGAAATCCCAAGTTACTGTTTTACAACATCATCATAGTCGATTTCACAATGTTTGTCAAAGAGATTTACCAGTTGTGAAGAAGCAATTGTATGAACTTATGACTATATTAAAGTCTGACAACTCGTATATTGATAAACATAATGCCAGTTTCAAAAGGTATTCCTTACCAAGTGTCTTTGACAGCAATTCCACCCTGAACAATTTAAAAAATGAATCTACTTTAGATGGTGACCTATTAATGTTAGATACAAACATGACATTAGCAACTTCAACTGATAATACTCTAATGGGTATCGATCAAACGTGTTTAGATATTTCTCAAATGTGTACAAACAATGATGTGGCATGTCAAACTATTGAACATTTTGTATCAAATAATATAGAAAAATTATCACATATAGACAAAATAACGTATGAAAATGCGAAATTATCTGAACAGATACATATGTTGAAACAAGAAAATGAGGATCTAAAAATACAAATACAACAACACTCAGTTATATCTAAAGAGAGAATTGAAGTCAGCCCTATCAAAACAGATATTTTGTTTAAAGAATGTGCTAAATGTAATATTTTCTTAGAAAATGAAAAATTCTCTGAAGAAAAAATAGCAGCACTATCGCAAGAATTAATTAATATAAAGTCCCTCAAAACTGAATTTGAACAAAAATATAATAACCTTATTCTTGAGGTCCCGTCTACAGAATCATTAATACGTAAATTAAAAGCACTTGAAAGAGACTGTAAAATTAAGTCTGAAGAAATATTGAAGTTGTCTAATTCAATTAATGCTAAAAACACCCAAATTAAGCAAATTCAACAAGAAAATGAGTGTTTATCCACACAAGTAATGGAAGTCATAACAGAAAGCGATAGCCAAGCCAAAGAACTAGAAGATCTCAAAGTCGAAAATGCTAAAATGAAAGCAAAAATTGAAAATTTACTCAAAGACCATGAAATTATCTTGCAATCAGATTGTACTCAATGTCGAATAAAAACGATGCCAAACGTGGACATGCCTGGAAAACTGAATCGAAGTCTAAGTGACTCAGAAACCTCCTCTAGGATCAATAAAATTTGCACGTTACAGAATGAGTTATACGCCGGTAGAGAGGATTGTAAAGAATTAACAGAAGATGTTGCTACTATTAAAAATCATTTAGAGCGAAATGAGTTATCTATATGTCAGAATATGGACTTAGATGATAGTATGGGAGAAAGTAATATTTACACGTTTAAGAAACACGATTCCGTTAGTCCTCCACTCGAGGAATCAAACTTGACAAATAATCAGCAAGACCGGCACTGCAGTGATTGTGCTTTAAACAAATCGAAATGCATAAACTATTATATAGAAAAAATGGGATGTAGCGAAAAAACTGTAAATGACAATATGAACATTGTAGATTTGATGAAAATGTTTTATAATGAGTTGTCGACTAAACATAACGAGGTTGAAAATTTAGTCAACAAGATCAAATGCTATGAGGAGTCGAAAAATCAGTTAGAAAAACATGTGGATAACATATCTATGGAATATTCGAAAGTAAAAGAATCATTAGAACTTAAAGAAAATAACTTCGAGACTGTGACAAATGTGCTATCTCAGATAAGACAAAATATCTTATTAATTGCTCAACAAATGTCTGATGTTAATAACTCCGAAAATAAAAACTTGAATCTTGTTACTAGTTTCAAAGAAAACCTTTTGGTTATTTTAGACAAAGAGTTTGATTTATCTTCTGTCACGGTTTTTGAAAATGTAATTGATGCCCTAGTTACTAAGCATCACAAGGAATTAAGAAGTATTACAGAACAGTACACTACATCACAAAAGCATATCGAAAGTTTGTCGTCAGAATTGAGTACAGTTAATAAAAAATTATGCGATATAAAATGTCAGCTATCTGACAAAGAAAACGAATACAATTTACTTAAGGTTCAAAAAGAGAAAATCCATGAAATCAGTAATGCTGTAACTCTAGATATAATTAGAAAGGAACAAGAGCTTTGTGAAACTATTGCAAATGGATGCAAAAAGCTTATGGATCATAATATAATGTGTTCTAGAGACTTTGATACGACATTACCCTTAAATAAGCAAATCAATGTACTCCTTGAAAGGATTTTGACTGAATATAATCCCAGTTCAATTGAAGCCGAAAAAGATAAAGAAAATCTGGTTTTGGAAATAAATAAATCCAAATTATGTTTAGAAGAAAGTAAGAAAGCATTACAAACATTAAAAGTAGAAAATGACAAATTAAAAGAAATTAACGAGACTGTAACTCTTGATTTAATTAATGTAGAAAAACATCTACAATTTGAAAAAACCTCGGCCGAACACATAAATGCAATGTATGAAAATAAACTGAAAGAAAATGATGCCAACATTGCAAAACTGAATGAACTAACTCACGAATTGCAATTAATGAAAGAAGAGTTTAAAGATAAGGAAAGTATTATTTGTGATCTTAAATCAGAAAAAGAAATTCAAACTTCTACTGTCACTGAAATGATAACTAAAATAAATATTTTAGAAGAAGAAATCAAGAAAGTGAAAATATTAAATGAAATCATAATCAAGGAAAAAGAAGAATATGCTCTAGAGCTCGAAAATTGTAAAGAAGCAATTAAATCCAAAAATGAAGAACTTGATAAATTGATGTCTGATATACATGTATTGAGAAAGTCGGTAAAGGAAAATGTTTCCATCATGGAAAACTTGAAAATGGAAGCAAAATCTTTGTTGCAGCAAAATCTCGACATTAAAATACAGTTAGAAGAAAAATCTAAAGACTGTTCTCGTTTAGAAATGAACATAAAAACACATGAAAAAACTGCAGAAATACAAAGCAAAATGATCATTAGGTAAAATGTTGTTTATTTATATGCATATTGAGACAGAAATAAACCTATACTATAGAGCAATACTCATATATATTTTTATGCAGGCTACAAAAACAAAAAGGTGACGATGATAGCACTATTAGCGAAAAAAATAAACAGATTGAAGAGTTGTCACAACAGTACAGCGATTTACGAAAAGAATGTGAAGCTATGAAGAACAACATCAAGGAATCCAGGGAAGAAATAGAAATGCTCAAAAACATCAAAGAATCTATTGAGGTGAGTTCAAATTGTATAATAACTAGTATAAAAGCTCTTATAGCTATATCTAGTAGTTTCTAAGCCAGTTCTAGTTTACATTATATTGAATCAACAGCATATCTGTCAGTTTCTTCTATGTTTAACTATTCGCTACCCAGGAAAGTAGACCTGAATTTAGTGAAATACCTAAATAGCATATACATTATATTTGTTTCTTTAGTTTTCAGGCACACCACTTATTAAACACGGTTAAAGGGTTCAAAATGCGTCTTTTTATTACTTTTTTGACGTTTCGCATACTTTTCAGGCCGCATCATCGTCAGAAAATGATTTTTATTTACTTTTGATGAGCTACTTTCAAACGACTTTTATTGAACGACCTCCGTGGCCGAGTGCTTTGTACGACAGGTTTCTTGGTGTCGTCTACTCGAGAGGTCTCGGGTTCGAAGGCCGGTGGGGGCAGATGTTTGTGTGATAAATACGAGCATTTGTACTCCAGTCATGGATGTTTAATACGTATTTTCTTTATAAATATACTTACATATCTACATATATGTATTCTAGCTGTTACCCTAGCATCCCATAAAACAAGCCTTAAAGTGCTTACTTTGGGGCTAGGCTAATTGGTGTCAGTGTTGGAAATATTTAATATTATTAATAATATTGAACGTTCAGATACTTCATTGAAAGATTATTGAAATTTTATTATTTATTTATGAACTTTCAAATTTGAAGTTTAATCGTATTGCAAGCCGTAATTATGATTTTAGAATATTATAGAGTAGCAACTAAAAATATGAGATTTCATTCCACAGATGCGGTTATCTGAAGTAAATACTGAGTCAGCTCCCATCAACAAGCAGCGAGTGTCAATGGAAGCCGACACGACCCGCAGACGTCGCCAAAGCATTCACGATTCCAAACGAGTGTTCGATGAAGACTGCGGGGGTAAGTCCAAATTTATTCTAGACCAGGGAGGGATGGGCAAATTATTTCCTTATCGTACCAATATTTACTATCTGAATCTTTGGCGGGCCAAGTTTTTGCTCGCTTAGGCCATTCGATTTCTTTGTAAATTAAGCCCTCACCTGTGTAAACTTATGATTTCTGCCAACGTCAAACAACCCCTGTCTGTGAAAGTAGCCAGATTTATGCCACGTGATATTGGTATCAATTCTGACATGATTCTCTAAACCTAAACTTAAATTTGACAACAGTGTATCCTTGTTATTCTCTATACAGCATGAAAAGGAGAGACTGATGTTAAATTTAGATTTAAGTTTAGAGAATCACGCCAGAATTGGCACCATTATATTATAATATTTAGATATAGAATAGAAATAGATGCAGAAAATATTTAAAATTGATTTAAGACATAAATTAAGACGATAGGTTCAGTAGAACTTGAAATATAACAGAGGGTTGTGACAGCCATTTTGCTTACACAGTTAAGGGGTTAAACAAAAAAAAGGTAAATTTAAAAAAATCGAAAAACCCGACTGCTTAATTGTACTTCAAATAAAAACTGAAAAGAAAAAACAAGTCCAGTAGTCTATAATTCTGTTAATAAGGAACAAAGCTACTTTAACAGTCGGGACCCATTAGATATTGAAGAGTACATAATATTTTTCAATAATGGGTCCCGACTGTTAAAGTAGCTTTGTTCCTTATCAACAGAATTATAGACTACTGGATTTGTTTTTTTCTTTTTAGATTTTATTTGAAGTATAATTAAGCAGTCGTCGGGTTTTTCGAATTTTTAAATTTACCTTTTTTATTTCACACTTTTTAGTTAGTTAGTTTTAAGACGATATATACCGTAGTCTTGTTACTTCAGTAAGGGAATTAATATCGCGGGAATTATTAAGTACCTTGCGGTGGTCTAAAAGATTGATTTATTAAGACATATAGAGACTTTACCAGCGGGGTCAAGGCTACAGATGGGCCTCAATTTTCACAAAAATGTGTGAAGTTAAATCAAGTTGTTACATAAATATTTAATGTTTGTAAATTTTATAGAAAACTAGCACTTATTCAAAAAGTCATCTTTTGTTTATGTTCTTTTTAGCAGTTTAGCAGTAAATATAAAATTCATTAACTTTTATTCGTTGACTATTTAAAATTGGCAGTAGCTGCTGACATGTCAACGTCCGGCTCTAAGATTGTGATATACACAAATGCAGTGTCATATCCTAGTCTCATAATTTGATATACCTACATAATTCACAGAAACCCAATATATAGATGCCAGAAGTTAACTTCAAATGTTGTTAATCACCTTATATACAATACCCACAATGACGTTTATGTCGCAGGTTGAAGAAAGCAGTAATTCCCGTCTGTTGTGTTGGACAATGGTGGCAACTGCCTTAGATCACTTACAATAATTATGCAATCACCAAAGCAAAGTTTATAATATTTGATTAAACTAAAGGCGCATAATAAATTTTTCATAACGTTATGTAGAGCACCATAGCAATCTCATTTATTATCAATTTATAGTTCTCTTTGTAGTTTTCTTTTAAAGCTTCACATATAACAGGTCAAAGACTTTGTGATCGACCCTTTTTTATTGGTAGTCTAAAGCTCGAATGAAGAGTACTTCCACCTATCAAGTGTGCTGCTACCAGCCTAGTAGGTACCTATTGCAAATAGTGCAATCATGGCAATTATTTTCCAAATATTTTTTTTTGTATAAAAAAACACCGAGTAACGTATCACTGTTAAGCACAAATGCTAAGTAACTTTTTACAAATATAATCAAATAAACCTATTAATTACTTTATTTTTAAATCTTTTTCATCAATAAAATACTATTATCCTAACTATCTATACTAATATTATAAAGAGGCAAGATTTGTATGTTTGTAACAAATAATCTGTCAAACTACTGAACCGGTTTCAAATAATAATTCATCGTAAGGTAGCTATATTATTTATTATAACAATTTTCTTTATTAAAATACATTTTGTCCGAGTCACATAGGCTATATTTTATCCCGATAAAATAAATTTCGTCTGTACAATGCCCGGGTGGATCACTAGTAAGTATAATATAATATTATAGATGCGAGTGAGTTTGTTTGTAGCGCTTCCGTGCCCTTTTAGCTAAATCGATTATAATGAATTCCCCTATAGAAGTAGATGGGAACTTGGTTCTTAGCTACAACATCGCAATACTTATAGGCGTAGGGTGATGAAAGGGGTGATTGACCAATAAAATTCTATATTATTTACTTTGAACTTTGCAGAATTATCATTTATAATTACAAAACCAATATTATCGCGAGCTGATTAATTAACACAGGGATTCCAATAAGTATGTATCCACTGGCGAAAAATGGGTTATTTGACATTATATTAAGTAAACCTTTTTTGTAATATTAAGTAATATCGACGACCTCCGTGGCCGACTGGTTTGTACGCCGGGTTTCATGGTGTCGCCGACTCGAGAGGTCCCGGGTTCGAATCCCGGTGGGGGCAGATGTTTGTGTGATGAATACGAGCATTTGTACTCCAGTCATGGATGTTTAATATGTATTTCTATATAAATATGCTTATATATGTACAGTATATGTATTCTATCCGTTACCCTAGTAATATAATATAACACAAGCCTTACAGTGCTTACTTTAGGGCTGGGCTAATTGGTGTGAATGTTCGATTATTTATTTATTATTTATATCGTTACAAAAATTTTAAAAACAGTATAATTCTGAGTTTTTCATTAAAATTCAATAATCATAAATACCTATTATGATAATTTATTTTTTCATCATTTAATAAGAAGGAACTGTATCACAGGTTTATTGTAAGTACTTCGTATAGGATCAGATACTGCGAGTAGCCCATTTTTTTCTTTTTCGCCTAGATTTTATCCACGTTTATAAACACCTAAATTAAATTTCTTCTCTTAGTATTCCCGCAGTCTATTCCTACATAGTACACCGCGCTATCACTTTGTCATCGTTGTAACTTTTTAAATATTTATCGAAATGACATAGTGTAAAAGGCAATGTTTAACATCTTTAAATATCAAAAATTAGTTTTGATAAAAAAATAATTTGTTAATACAAAATGTGCATTTTGGAATTAGATATCAAATAATATTTTAGTTTTGATTCACTACTTTGGCGGTAATGGCTTACACATTAAAAATATATATATGGTGTCACGGACTTTTTTTTAGAACTATTTAAGAGATATATTTTTACTTTACATTATATTCATGTTACTTTTATTGTTTTTGCAGTGCAGGGCAAAATGGCTCGCGGATGGGAGATTTTTTTCCGTCTTATGTGACACTTATTGTTATATTTTGGCCAATTTACTCAATAACTACATAAATTATTATAATATGTTATTATCATATGAGCTATATTACTGTTAAGTTTCTTTAAAATCCATTCAGTATTTTTTAGGTGAAAGAGTAACAAAGATCCATACAAACGTAAGATTGAAATTAAAAGCTCAAGTGGTTACTATACAACTTTAAAGCGTTGTAGATCCTAAACAATCGTATAAAATGAAAAATGGCTTTAGGAACCTAAACATGATTTTCAATTATCTAGACAGTGATATCCCACTCGACATATTTTGTCAACTTTTTTTTATACTTCGTCACAATATGGCGCCTAATTGTCCTCATATTGAATTTTGATTACTATCATATCTTTAGTAGCACTCCCATGATTGAGACGAGTCGATTGATGTATGAATCATCAAAATCGGTCCAGGCGTTTGGTTTCTAGTGTGCCACAAAGGAACAAACATACATATATAGACTGTTAAACACTATACCCTGTCTGCGCGTCGCGCTTCGCGCTCCTGCATTGCGCAGTCGGGTAAAAATATAGCTTAATAACGAATGCCTCTCAAAGTAAATACGCCCTTGAGTTTACTGCGAAGTAAATAGGTAGGTATCAGGTTCGGCTCGGCAGCAGGGTGGTCCTTTTCGAAACATGTGAAAAAATGGTACTCTTTGATGAGAAACATTGATTTCTGTTTGCTAGTCGCGGGCCAGATTTCATCCTTCCATTTTCCTGTAGTCAAAATCGCAGAGACAAAGAGCTACAACTAACGACTGCAGATGCAGCCATGACATGACCATTGCTGTAGATTTTCTGTGTAAATATAATCCCACCAAAAATATTCTGTAAAAAACCAGCCAAGTCTCGATGAAGGAACTGCTTGTTTATCTCTAAATAGTAATGAAATCTAGACAAAGTCGTGCCAAGTCTAAGGTTCCTTACTATGATTTCTTTATTATTATAGTTAATATTGTGTGACTTGGCCGTTGAAGGGTACTCAAGAGTGCAAAACCAGGTGCTACATGACGCCAGAACCGCTACCCATTGACGATGGAAAATTGCCACTTGGAAAACTTTGATTGAATAACCAGTCAATTGTAGGCTTGATAAAGTTGCGTACCCTTGAACGGCCAAGCTGGTTTTATACAGAATGTTTTTGGTGGGATTTCACTTTTTTTTGTAGAAACTGAATTAAACTAAGAGTACTAAATAACTAACATTAAATAAAGTATTCAATTAAAACTTCTTTTAAATCTAATAATTAAGTAATAATCAGTAATTCGTCACTTATCATAAAATTCTTAGCCTATTCAAATCTTGGAATTGTTATAATAACAACCTGAACCATAGCAAACCTCACGAAATAATAAGCGAAGAATGTCGTAAACGTCTGTATCGCGACCTTTTGTTATGTGTGTATGCTGTTGGTCGCAGATAACCTTTACAGCGTCACTGGGTTTGAACTGTAACGCGGGAGGTTGCCAATTCGCCATTTAGGGTTATAAAATACAGTCAGCGCCATCTAGCGACGTGTGCGGGTATCACCGCCACTCTTAGTCCTATGCATTATATTTTGACCAAATTTTTGGTGAAATTAATATTTTAGTGTAATAAATGTGTAATTGTTTATTTCATTTGTGTAATGTTCGAGTAGAATAAGGTTATCGTTCGACTATTTTTTCTTGTAAACTTATAAGTATAAAAGCCAGACTAGTGTTATCCAGAGTTTTCCTTTAATTTAATTTATATGCGTATTAAAAGCAGAAGGGGAGGCATTCGCCCAGCAGTGGGACACTATAGGCTAGATTAAATTAGAAGATGTGTCCCACTCGCTGGATTATTGCAATGATAGTCGATTTTTTTAAGTGTAAGGGGGTGTAAGGGGTTCTAAATACACCTGCAAGAACCCAAGCCAACCTCACCTTCACGTGGTGCACCCTGTCGACCAACAGACGAGGCTCTGGCAAACCGACCGATGGCGGTATAACCATCCAATGCCGTAGGGGAGGGAAATCTCACTGGTGACGGGCAGCAGCGTCATCAGTGAATTAACCTACGTTCTGCGATCGCCAACCCGCCTGCCCAGCGTGGCGATTACGGGCAATACCTCCAATGAACACAGACCACATGCCACGGCCCCCAGTTCCCGGCAGCCCCGCTATTCCTGGTCACGGTGGCGACCACGGTAACGGCGGGGCGGGGGGTGCTAAGAATCTCCGGGCTACGGGAGGCCACCACAATAGACTGACCCTGGCGACGTACAACGGACGCACGCTACGGCTTGACTCGCATCTGGCGCAACTCGAGGTAGAACTTGGGAAGATTAGGTGGCACATATTAGGGTTAAGTGAAGTCCGAAGAGAGGGGGAGGACACCATAACCCTCGAATCGGGCCACCTAATGTACTTCCGCGGGGGAGACCAACAGTCTCAAGGTGGCGTTGGGTTTTTGGTAAATAAGTCCCTTGCCGATAACGTTGTAGAAATGTCCAGCGTGTCGAACAGGGTAGTGTACCTTATTATAAAGCTCACCGAGAGGTATAGCCTCAAGGTGGTGCAAGTGTACGCACCGACCTCGACACACTCGGACGACGAAGTGGAGGATATGTACGATGATATATCGAGGGCCCTTCACTCCACAACTAAGACCCACTACAACGTTGTTATGGGGGACTTCAATGCTAAAGTGGGAGTACAGAATTGCAGCGAATCGGTAGTAGGATCCCATGGATTTGGAAGCAGAAATCAAAGGGCGCAAATGCTCGTCAACTTCCTCGAACGGGAAGGGCTCTTCTTGATGAACTCGTTCTTCAAGAAACAGTCCCAAAGGAAGTGGACGTGGCAAAGCCCCGACACTATGACTAAAAATGAGATCGATTTCATCATGACGGACAAGAGGTATATATTCAGAGACGTCTCTGTGATCAATAGGTTCAATACCGGTAGTGATCACCGACTCGTCCGGGGCTCTCTGAATATCAACTTTAAGGCCGAGCGCGTCCGTTTGATGAAATCCAGGCTCCGACCTACTCTGCTCCAATCTATAACAGGATCTGAAACGTTCCAGTCAAATCTGGAGAACCGATTTGCTGCCGTGGAAACCACATCAGACGTAAACCAAAACCTTGAAAATGTGGTTCGGATCCTCAGGGAAGAGGGTACGAGATTATGTGCAACACAGCGTAAGGGCAGGAAGTCAAAGCTTTCGGAAGAGACTTTAGGGTTAATGAAGGAACGACGTGAAAATCCACCCGTCACTTCGTCGGCAAAGCGGACTCTAAACCAAGAGATCAGTAAGCACGTACGACACGACCTCCGGTGCTACAATACTCTCTCGATCGAAAGAGCGATAGAGCAGAATCGAGGTTCCAAAGTGTTCGTACAATCTCTTGGAAGAAACCATCTGACGAAGCTGACCACAGCAAGTGGGGAAGTTGTTGCTTCAAAGCCGGCAGTCCTTTCGGAAGTGGAAGACTTCTACAGCCAGTTATACGCATCACATGCATCTCGACCCGATCCCGGAAATGAGGATTCTAGAGCCACATTAACACGCCACTTCACCGAAGACCTGCCAGAAGTCAGTATTGGCGAAATCGAGATTGCTCTTGGACAGCTTAAAAATGGAAAAGCCCCTGGAGAGGATGGTGTTACAACAGAACTCCTGAAGGCTGGAGGTAAACCCGTACTGGTGGAGCTCCAAAAGCTTTTTAACACTGTCCTGTTCGAAGGGAGAACTCCGGAGGCGTGGAGTAGGAGTGTGGTCGTCTTGTTCTTTAAAAAAGGGGATAAGACCCTACTTAACAACTATCGACCCATATCCCTTCTAAGCCACGTCTATAAGCTGCAGTCCGTCCCTGCAGCGTTGCCAAGTCGACTGGCGATACATCCAAGTGATAAGATGTCTCTACGAAGCCGCCACCATGTCTGTCCAAGTACAGAATCAGCAAACAAGTCCCATACCGTTGCATCGTGGAGTGAGACAAGGGGACGTTATTTCCCCGAAATTGTTCACTAATGCAATGGAGGATATGTTCAAGACGCTGAACTGGAAAGGACATGGCATCAACATAAATGGCGAACGCATCTCTCACTTGCGATTTGCAGACGACATCGTCATCATGGCAGAAACCCTGCAGGACCTACAACAGATGCTGAATGACCTGGCTGACTCTTCTATACGCATCGGCCTACGGATGAACTTGGATAAAACCAAGGTCATGTTCAATGAACATGTTCTACCGGAACCGATTGCAATACACGGTGCCGTTCTCGAAGTTGTTCAAAAATATGTATACCTCGGGCAGACATTGCAGTTAGGTAGAAACAACTTTGAGGACGAGGTGAATAGAAGAGTTCAGCTAGGTTGGGCAGCGTTTGGGAAGCTACGTCAAGTCCTGACATCGTCGATCCCACAGTGCCTAAAGACGAAAGTCTTCAATCAGTGCGTCCTACCTGTGATGACATACGGAGCCGAGACGTGGACACTGACGGTACGCCTGGTCCACAGGTTCAAAGTCGCTCAGCGCGCTATGGAAAGGGCTATGCTCGGCGTTTCTCTGAAGGATCGCATCAGAAATGAGGTAATCCGACAGAGAACCAGATTTATCGACATAGCCCACCGGATTAGCAAGTTGAAGTGGCAGTGGGCTGGCCATATTTGCCGACGAACCGATAACCGTTGGGGTAGACGAGTTCTGGAGTGGAGACCGCGTCTAGGCAAACGTAGTGTAGGACGTCCTCAGGCACGATGGAGTGACGATTTGCGCAAGGTGGCTGGCAGGAGCTGGATGCGAGTAGCCCAAGATCGATCTGAGTGGCGTGCAATTGGAGAGGCCTATGTCCAGCAGTGGACTAGGATGGGCTGTTGATGAGTCGATTTTTTTATGTACCAATAGTAGAAGGGGGCATTACCATATCTGTAATACAGCTGAGACCAGCTGCGGGTTCTTCATCAGATACTTCAGACCTTCGATTTTTGACATCAAATGAAGCGGCCCACCAAGTTGAATATTTTTTGTGAAGGCGGTATGTCGATCTCTTGTAATAGTTTGGTTGGGCTCTTGTGTTTTCTAATCAGGGTCACCAGGTACTCCAGATCTTCGATGATCCTAGTTTTCCCTTTACGTGGCCATTAAACCCTAACTCTGTACCAAATTTCAGCTCTCTGAGTTTATGGGAAGTACTAGTTCTATTCTGATGATCATGAGTGAGTGAGTGTCTTAAATGCGAAACTTTAATTTCTCTTAACTTGCGAACTAAATGACATACAGACTTGAAATTTTGGATTTTAAGTATGTGATTATAGCTTACTGGATGACGGAAATTTCTGCGTTCTGGTTTTATCCAGAGGTTCTCAAATAGGGGCCTGAAAATGCGGCAAAATGGTTCCAGTAAAGGATGGTACGGCAGTTTTTGCTTCGCGCTCGACTTGTCGGGGGCACTGCCGTGCCTCCCGATTGATGGGTCGAGAAGTGCTGATGATTTTAATTAAAATCTTATATAGAAGAAACATGGTTTAGCGTTGTCAATAATATAAAACGCTATTAAAAATATTGCTATATAGAGGCTATAATATCTTGTGTCTCTTATAGATCACAATAAAATGGAAGTTGTGTTCGATTCGCGCGCGAAACCGCTGGATTTCTTCATGGACGTTGATGACGGCAGTTCCGACAGAAGTACTCCACTCAGATCTAGCAGAGGGTATTTATAATTCACATATTATTTTAACTTTTCATTTCTATATAGATAATTTACTTGTTCAGGTGTTATTGTTTATCGGTATCACTCTAAGATTTTATGATCCTTTGTTGTTGCTGCCGTTCTGTTCAGAAACGAGTTAGAAGTATAGAATAATAAAAAGCCACCAATTTGACCATTCATCCGTTTTTACAAGGCTTACAGCCTTGTAACGAGGCGCACGATCGCATCGTTTCTCCCATACTTTTCCGCATGTATTTTCTTTATTGTAGAAAAAGGAACACTCGGCCATTCTTTATTTGTATAAAATAAACTGCTGTTAGGGATGAAACGATACTATCTAGGTATCAATACTTTTACTCGATACTGTATCGGTCATAAAGTATCGATGCCTACTCGGTGTCGAATGAAAAGTATCGATACTTACTTGTATCAATAAATTTTGACAAACTATATTACAACTACAAATTTAGTCACAGTTTTAATTCAACAAAAACATAATAACGGCTCACGTTACGCGATGAACGAACGACTGATTGAATATATTGGAATAAATATAAATCATACGCAAGGCTGCCAACTGAGCAGTAGAAAAGATGCGTTCGCGAAACAAAAATTCCAACTAGACACCTTATCATAGAGTAAAGGACATGGTAAAATTTTGTATGAGCGACTGCCCTAGCAATGTATAAATATTGTGCTTAGTAATATATAATGCAGAATGGCTGAATATTTATAATTTCTATGAAAAAGGCTCAGGAACTTTTGATAAAGTCACAATTTTCAAAATTATGAGATCTCCTACAACGTCATTACCTTGCTACATTTGATAAAAGATGTTGCCAATTATTTACAGAGTCTTCAATTTCGCATTTACTTAGACTATTTCTTCACATTTATCAGATTAACACTTCACAAAAAGCATTTTTAAAAGTAAAAATAAACACAAATAATTTGTTTTTTTTGGCCTGACATGAAATCTTTGATGTTTTATTTTGTTCATTTACAAAAATCAAAGCATTAATTATCATACAGCCTTCTCTGAAGCCTGATCAGAAAAATAAAATCTATTATTTTAGGCCTTCAGTGATTTGTTATAATAAAAATAAGGGCCAAATATGTCATAGTTTTTGGGAGTTTTGAATTAATATTGTTTATTTCGATATACTGACAGAAATATTTTCAGTATACATTTATTGTTCATTTATTTTAGTAAAACGGAACATTTTCCTTTTGAAACAGACATGAAGTCAATTTTTATACTTTTAAATATTTGATAACTTCACGAAAGTTCTATGAGAATTATAAACACGTAATAATTAATATAAAAATATTATAAAATTATGGGCTGGTGCAAAATAATTATGCACGTTAAGGGCAGTTTCTTAGCCATGTCCTTTGATACTTCTCAGTGAGTGACCGACTGAGTACCGATACAAGTACTTACTTCACGATACTACTTGTTACTCAGTTCTAAAGTATCGATGCGAAACGTACTTGGTATCAAAAGAAAAGCATCGAGCAGTTACTTGTATTTACTCGTATTGTTTCATCCCTAACTGCTGTGTTATGCCCTCTTTAAATGTTCAAGTATAGTCGTTATTGTTTCAGACGCGATAGTTTCACGTCAAGGCACGAACAGGTAAGTCGTAGTTGCTTCCTCTATCTTTTTAATCTTTATTGTACATGAAGTTAAAACGTGTTGGCTGTTTATCGCCTATCATAAGAATCAAACTAAATGGAGGGCACTATAATTCTGTATGTATGTTTTAAAATATGCAGTAAATATATTTTCTGATGAATGGTTTGACCCATTAAAATCCTACATGTAGGCAAGTAGGTTTATGCTCGCAAGTTAAGCACTTATTATACAGATGCCCCAAAACTTTGACGTTAAGAGGGTAAGTAGCTTAAATCCTGCAGATAAATAATTTATCTGAATAAAGACTTCATTTTAATTTCAAAAATAATACCTTCTCCATTCTAATGATTTAAAAAAAAAAACGAGTGTGTGACTTATGACCACACAACTAAAGTGAAACTTCTTTAGCTCCATCTGTATGTATATATACAGGGTTACAGGGAAAGTCGTACTGAATATTGAAGGACGTTATTATTCAGGTCATTTCTGATGGATTTGGTCCTATAATATGGTGTCCGAAACTTAACCGTTATGGAGATATTGGATATTAAAGATTTTTTTTAAAAATCCTATATTTTTTGGGTTATTGTCGATTTTTTTGAAACTAGAGCTCCAAAGATTCGATTTTTTAATGTATCTAGTTAGAAGACATGTCAAGCAATAAAAATAATGAATAAAAACTGAACCTACTTGTAACGGCTTAAAAAAACTGCTCGACAACGGTTATAACTAAAGAATTTTCACCAAGTGTCCTTAACTTTGAAGCGCTTTTCTAAAAAAAAAAATGTATGGAACTTATTCTGCAAATAATTTTAAAAACTTCTACGTCTCTTTAGCTATTCAAAAAGGTATAACACTTGCTATTAAATTGGCAAAACATTGACCAAATAACAGTTATGGTGGCAGAGGGTACATTTTTAGTTTGAGGTAAAAATAGCAAAAATACGTAAATAAAACCAGAAAAGCATCATCATCATCATCACCAGCCTATTAATGTGCCTACTGCTGAGGCACAGGCCTTCCCTATTGATTGAATAGGGAGATTGGGCCATGACCCACCACGCGGGCCCAGTGCGGATTGGTGGGTGCTAACGACTGCAGATGCGGTCGGGACCAACGGCTTAACGTGCCTTCCGAAGCACGGAGGAGCTCGAGATAGTAATTTTTGGTCACCCATCCAATGACCGACCACTGCGAATGTTGCTTAAGTTCAACGATCGCAGCCGAACGCGCTAACCACTTGCGCCATCGAGCTGCTCAAAATTATAATTCATGTTCAACATGGCCGCCGCTATTTCTAACACAATATATTCTCAATCTTTTTCTTAAATTACTTTTTACTACAGAAGTTTTTAAATTCCGCCTCATATCCTCAGCCGCATCAATAAATCCTTTGTCGCAAAATATCGATATTTGCGATTGGCATCATCTGGTCGTATACAAGGCTTTTCATATGACCCCACACAATAATGAGGATATGAGGCGGAACTTAAAAAGTAATTTAAGAAAAAGATTGAGAATATGTGTTAGAAATAGCGGCGGCCATGTTGAACATGAATTATAAAAATATTTACTAAGCTTTTTTGGTTTTATTTACGTATTTTTGCTATTTTTACATCAAACTAAAAATGTACCCTCTGCTACCATAACTGTTATTTGGTCAATGTTTTGCCAATTTAATAGCAAGTGTTATACCTTTTTGAATAGCTAAAGAGACGTAGAAGTTTTTAAAATTATTTGCAGAATAAGTTCCATACATTTTTTTTTAGAAAAGCGCTTCAAATTTAAGAACACTTGGTGAAAATTCTTTAGTTATAACCGTTGTCGAGCAGTTTTTTTAAGCCGTTAGAAGTAGGTTCAGTTTTTATTCATTATTTTTATTGCTTGACATGTCTTCTAAAAAATCCTATATTTTCGAACCCAAAAAATATAGGATTTTTTAAAAAAATCTTTAATATCCAATAGCTCCAAACGGTTAAGTTTCGGACATCATATTATAGGACCAAATCCATCAGAAATGACCTGAATAATAACGTCCTTCAATATTCAGTACGACTTTCCCTGTAACCCTGTATATATATGTGAGTGTGTGTGTGTACAATATATACATTTGTATCTATATATACATATTTCAATTACTAGCTGTAAGAAAGAGTCATGAAATGAAAAGTCGTGAAAAAGACTAATGTCAAATTTATACATAGCAAACACGAATAGCCAAGTTAAGTGCCGGCATAAAATGAAAGTTGTATATTTAGTTTTTTGACGACCTCCGTGGGCGAGTGGGCGTGGCGAGTTTGTACGCCGGGTTTCATGGTGTCGCCGACTCTAAAGTATATTAAGTTTAAGTTATATATAACACAAATAAAAAAAAATTTATTTTATATAAATATAACATTTTTAAGTCTGATTTATGGAGTTTATAATAAACAATTTACTCGCATTTTCATCGGGGTCCTTCATACAAAAAAGGTAAATTTAAAAAATCGAAAAACCCGACTGCTTTATTATACTTCAAATAAAAACTGAAAGAAAAAAACAAGTTCAGTAATCTATAATTCTGTTAATAAGGAACAAAGCTACTTTAACAGTCGGGACCCATTAGATATTCAAGAATAATAAAAATTGAAGAAGAATATATAAAAATTAAACCCGTTTTCCATTGTCACGACACAACATGAAAACGGCTAGACCGATTTGGCTGATTTTTTTTTTGTAGTTTTCTAATACTCTGTACAAGGTTCTTACGGAAAAAAATATAAAGAAAATCTGTCTGTCTGTCTGCCTGTCCGTATGTCGCAGCCACTTTCATCCGAAATTATAAGAACTATACTGTTGAAACTTGATAAGTAGATGTATTCTGTGAACTGCATTAAGATTTTTACACAAAAATAGAAAAAATAACGACGGATTGCACTCCGTGAGTGCCGGCAGAAGTGAAAACTTGAATATTAACATTGTGCATTTTTGATATTTTGGAATGGTTAGAGAATACATTGGAACGAATTGCTTTAATTATCAGTATAAAAGTACTATAATTAATGTGGTAGAATACAATATTAATTTGTTTTTGCGCTATCGTACACAAACATGACAATTCATATTCCATTAAAAAGTTTATCTCACAGAAAAATCAACTTACATGAATCACATTCAAGCGCACCTAGCGACATCTATTATAAAGAAAATCAATTTCTTCGCAATAAAGCTGCAACCTGGACGTCCTAGACAGAGACTTATTATTATAATACGGTAAAATAAAATATTACTATGTTTCGTCCAATATATTGAAAGTCAACATCATCATCATCAACATCAGCTTATTAATGTCCCCACTGCTGGGGCACAGGCCTTCCCTATGAATGGAATAGGGAGATTGGGCCATGACCCGCCACGCGGGCCCAATGCGGATTGGCGGGTGCTAACGACTGCAGATGCAGCAGGGACCAACGGCTTAACGTGCCTTCGGACTATTATGAAAATATATATGTTGTTTTTTATTTAATAAAAATTAGTAAAGTCCTCAGGTATGGCGAGACCAGGGAAATAAGGATTCATTATATGGAGGATATTATAGATTCCAGTACAAATTAAATAGGTACTCATACATAAGATAGGTCAGCTATACAAAATAAAGTAGTGCATCAAAGCTACGCTAAGGCGGTACGAAGTTCGCCGGGTCAGCTAGTACATAATATTTTCAATAATTTATTTACTTTTATTCGTCGACTTTTTAAAATTGGCAGTGGCTGCATTGTCATGTCAACGTCCGGCTCTAAGATTATGATACACATAAATGCAGTGTCATGTCCTAGTCTCATAATTTGATTCTGTGAATTATGTAGGTACATAATTCACAGAAACCTAATATGTAGATGCCAGAAGTTACCTTCAAATGTTGTTAATCACCCTATATACAATATCAATCAATGACGTTTATGTCGCATATTGTAAATAGTGCAATCATGGCAATTATTTTCCAAATATATTTTTTTTGTATAAAAAAATACTGAATAACGTGTCGCTGTTAAGCACAAATGCTTAGTAACTTTTACAAATATAATCAAATAAACCTATTACTTACTTTATTTTTAAATCTTTTTCATCAATTAAATACTATTATCCTATCTATACTAATATTATAAAGAGGCGAGATTTGTATGTTTGTAACAAATAATTTGTCAAACTACTGAACCAGTTTCAAATTCATCATAAGGTATAGTCTGTTTCAGAGGCAGGCGGAAAAACGTACAATGCCCTTATAGGGGCAAACAACCTTTTTTTCTTTTATTGATATATTGTATAATTAAAAATAATATAATATTTATATTATTTTTAATTTTTAGCATTAATCTGCTAATTTTAGATGAGGTGCTCGTGAGCGTAGTGGTTAGTGCAGCTGCCCGGATTGCGCAAGGCGCGTGTTTGATTCCCACCTGTTTTTATTTTTTCTAGTATATATTTTATTCGCGTGGATTTTTTTCTAGTAAACTTTTCTTTAGATTTAAACACCTAGCAGTTAAATGCTTAAAAATAAATAAAATCATAAATATATTTTCTTGAGAAAAAATATCATAATTTTTTCGATTTCCGAAATATACGACATCTTACGCTTCATTCGGGGTGACAGAAAACTTTTAAACGGTTTTGATGTCGACGGGGCCGGCTCCATATCGCTTGAAAAACGATATTCGTTGTAATACAAAACCAATATAACAAAAAAACTTAACACAAATCGTAACAAACAAAATTAACATAAACTTAACACAAAAACTAACAAACTAAATTAACAATAACAAAATTAATAACAAATGATCGAAATTAAAGGAACGATAAACAAAACCAACCACACGCGAGTGCATTCCAAAGCGGAATGCGTGTTGCTCCGCTCCCTTCACTACCCGCGTCCACGCAAATCCCAAACAGGTTTTAAACTCTGAACGACCGCGTCGCTCAACTCACCCCGTACCACGAAACACAGTACGATGCTTGAGCGACAC